TATATACAGTAAAACTTTGTAATAAGCTTAAACAAATCTTTTGCAGGTTATTATAGTTAACTAAAACTAAAACTGTAAAAATAAATTGCTTTACCTGAAATAAGATAAAAGTTAACTAAAGTAAAACAAAATCTAAAAGAAACCTAAACTTTTTTTTTTATTTCAACCAGTTGCCAACATTTCTCATTTTCATTTAGTTTAACTTTGATGTACTAAAATAACTAAAGCTAAAACTGAAATAAAAATGTACAAAAACCGTATTGATAGACTAACTGATTAAAAAATAAAAAACAAAACAATAACTGATAAAAATGACAAAAACTCAACAAAATTAACTAGCTGAAATAAAAAAATGGAATAGAAAAAAAAAACTAGAATAACATCTCAATGAAAGAATAACACTGATTACAAACAGTGGTTCAAAAAGTACAGTTCTCCCCATAGACGTATTAAAATGAACCATGTCCAAGACCTGAATTATAATAATTGATACAGCGCCAGTCAAAGACCCTCAGACCCCTATAACTGTAACCACACCAATCTGAGACTGCTGGAAATGTCATTATAGTTCGAACTGGATTGGGTCATGTGTAAACTAATGTGAGTCTGGTCTTATTTAATACTTTAACTAGAGCATTTAAGAGTTGAAATCAAGCCATTATAGCAGAACGAAGCAAATCAGCCATCTGGTGCCACTGATATAACCCTGCCAACAACAACTAGTGGAGCATACCTACACTGAACCACTTACATTTGTGTGAATAATCAACATTTCCAAAACACACTCATTTAAATGGTTAAAAAACATGCAGATTAAAACTGATCAGCTAAAACAGACATAAAAATAACGCATGGGTCAAAAAACAGCATGCACTGCAGTCAGGTGGAGAGTTTCTCAGACTGCTTTCAGTCCCTGCTTGCGGGCATTTGGAGATAAATGTAGATCCAATCAGTCATGAGTTAAACAACTGAGATCTGTACAGCACAGAAGCCCCGGGATGTGTATCCGGCGTGATGGCGCACTCATTGCGTACCCTGCCTAAAATCATCTAAGTTATGTCTCGCTGCCACGGAGAACGACGCAAATGGGATAAAAAGAGGCTTTGTTGCGATGACATAGGTGAGAATGCGGTCAGGTTGGGCCACATTGGACCCCCTTAAACCACAAAGAAGCTTTAAAACATAAATCAGGGTTGTTTATGAGTAGATGCTGATGGGTTTTATATAATCTGTGCAGTGCTTTGTAAAGATCTTACATCAAAAAACTCTTCTAATGTGACCTGCAAACCAGAAGAGGAGGCAGAACCACAGATAGTGAAGAGGTTATTGAAGATATTTTAACATGCACCATCCATCACTAATAGATCAAGGGCATATTTGAGGCTTTTTTGAAGCCCAATTTGAAGAAGTCGCTGGCATCTCCTTCAAAACACCTTCACTGCACTTTAGTAAAATGTGTTTTGAATGGGTCTCAGTACGTTTAAATGATTAGAAACACAAAATGGATTGGATATTGCTTTCTCGTTGTGGCTAAGTTACTCTGAGAATCTCAGAAAATGAGAGACAGCTAACCTTACGATGAAAAAGGATAGTACACCCAAAAATGCAAATAATACTAAAATACCTAAAACTGGAATAAAAATGAACAAACACTGTATAGATAAACGGATTAAAAAACACAAAACAAAAAAGTATACAAATGACAAAAACACAACAAAATGACTAAAACTTTAACTACAATTAAAATGTAAATGAAAATACAAAATTCAAAATATTAAAAAACTATACTATACTATTTCTATAGTATTTATAATTAGCTATTCTTTTTATATTTTCAGTTTTCGTTTTTATTTTATATTTTTATTTTAATGTTTTAGTAATTTTGTCATGCACTTTTGTCTTTTTTATTTTAATAAAATACTTTTTTGTTTAAATTTTTTATTAATTTATATTTTGCTTCATTTATCTTTATTTCAGGATTAGTTTTAGCAATTTTGATGCTTTATCCACTGATCTATATTATATAGATCAGTGACTTTAACTCATTTTATTTAAGTTACACTGTAAAAATAAGTTGTTGTTTTTTAAGTGGTAAATAAAACAAATATGGCTGGAGTATGTTTAAAAAGAAAATGCTATTTCAGTCTTTCTATTTCAAAAATTCTAAATTATGTGTTGTCGTTTCTAATTTCTTAACATTAACATTTATAATTTTAGGTTTGTTAATATTTCTCTTTAATTTGATTTCAGCTTTCAATTGACAATAATGATTTTTAATAGTTTTAACTTTAGTTAATGAATAATTTTCAGTAATGACATATTTTGGGATACTGATCACACAAAGGAAGACAGACTACTTTAATTAAAGGTACTTTTTAGCTTTTTTTGGACAACCATAGGTCACAGTCCACTTTCATTGAGTGCAAACATCTCCTTTTGTGTTCAACAAACAGAAACAACCTATAGGTTAATCATAAGGATGAGCAGATGATAAGTCGACATTTTCCATTTGAGGTGAACTGTTCTCTTAAAGAAACCCAATTATGGCTGATTTCTTCTCACATGAGATGTACAATGACCGTTTTAGACTATGCTCACAAGAAGCACAAGTTCTCAAAAACCTCACATCACTTTAACAGCTAAGATCAATTTATGAAATCTGTAAGATATACACATGATATTAAAGATAAGCCGTTTTGGACAATGGTGAAGTCAGCATTTGAATATATTCACAGCTGCTGACGGGGGTGGTTGAACAGCTGCAGGGTTTGAGATATCAGCAACAGACGACATACGGGATGGGTGGACAACATTCTGCATTACTGCACTCTTATTACTCCAAATATTTCACCAACTGCACTGAATTTTACTGTAAGGCTTCCCATACTGAAAATATCTAGAACTCAACAAACCAAAGTAAGATAAAATCTCAAAAAGGGTTTTTTTCCGCAATTATGCCATAGAAGAACTAATTGGTTCCCCAAAGAACCGTTTTAGTGAACAGTTCTAAAGTAAGTTATCACCTATAGCAATCACCCTAGCAACTGAAAAGCATCACACTAAACACCACTCAGAACACCTTAGTAACCGCATAACAATGACCCGGCAACCACCCAGAACACCCTAGAATCCTGGCGGGTTTTGAGAACATTTATACTATATAGTGTAGTCATAATTATCATTAAAAATCATTAGCATATACACTAAACCATTAAAAAGTTTCAGGTCAGTAAGATTTTATTTGAAAGAAATTCATAAGCAAGGATGCATTAAATTGATCAAAAGTGACATTTATAATGTTACAAAAGATTGCAGTTTCATTCTATTTCCTTCTATTCATCAAAAAACACTGAAAAAAATGTATTACGGTTTACACAAATATATTAAAGGGGTCATATGATGCTTTTTTAAAGATCATTATTTTGTGCATTTGGTGTAACAGAATATGTTGACATGCTTTAATGTTCAAGAAACACATTATTTTTCAAATACTGTACATTATTGTAGGTCCTCTATGCCCCGCCTCTCTCAAACGCTTCGTTTTCTACAAAGTCCCTCCTTCCGACAAGCGCAGTCTGCTCTGATTGGCCAGCTGACCCAGTGCATTGTGATTGGCCGAACACCGCAAGCACTCGTCGGAAATGTAACGCCCCTTACCATAATCGCGAGCTTCATCTTTCAAAATAAATGTAAAGACAGTAAATAATGTCATTAGTTTTACCATCAGTTCAAGCCCGAAAGGGGAACAGACGCAGTAATGATGCAGTACACAAGCCGCGGTTAAGACAGCTGACTGTTAGAACGAGCCGTTTTAGGGGGGCGTGGCAGAGTCTTAACTTTGATAAAGAATATCTCTTTGGGTTTGTGACTTTAGTCTTTGCAACTTCAGGGATCTTATCTATGCACAATCAGCTTGTAACACTCCAAAGAGAAATGAAAACTTGAAATCGCATCATATGACCCCTTTAAGTAGCACAACTGTTTTTTAAAATGATAATAATGAGAGATGTTTCTTGAGCAAAGACACTTTGATTTCTGAAGGATCATGTGACACTGAAGACTGGAGTAATGGCTGCTGAAAATTCAGTGTTTAATCACAGTAATAAACTACATTTTAAAATATATTCAAATAGAAAACAGTTCTATTAAATTAGAATAATATTTCACATTTATATTTGATATTTTTGATCAAATAAATGGAGCTTTGGTGAGCAATTGTCTATTATATTTTGTAGCCAATAACATAACTATTCTATAATCATAACTAAATCATCTTTTATATTGTTACATCATAATCTATAAATGTTTAATCAGATAAAGGTGGTATTAAACAGCCCCGATGAATCATTTTAAAAGTAATGTTGACCTTGTCCCGAGGTCATTCACTGATGCTCCAGAGGACATTTTCATGTCATCATGACCGTCTGAAATCCCCTCATAGATTTTGGCATTGTTCAGATGAGCTCAGTCCTCCACACCCTCCTCTCCCGCAACAGCTGCTCCTACCCCTGTATTACAGCACTGACCCAGGATCAGCTGAAGCACATCACTCACATAATCACGTTCACCATCCAGCAGGTCCAAGATCAGCTGCTGAGGGATCAAGGGTTTGGAGCTCAGCTGTGTCTGCTTTGACTTTCAGCTGTTCAGACATGACTCAGACAGAGAAAGCAGCTCCATGTTTCTGAGAATGCTTTGATTCACTTAGTGACCAAGTCTGCATTTATTTGATCAAAACTTGTATATATACCCTTGAGCATTAGAGACTTATTTCAAAAACATTTAAAAATCTTAATTATTCCAAACTTTTGGTCACCATTGTATATCTCTTCATTACAGCAGTTTGACATCAAAGCTCAATTGATATAATACTTTAAAATAATCTTATTGAGATGCCATTTTTATGAAACATGAGCACACAAATACTTAAAATCTGTATAAACTGTTTACTAAAATTTGTTCAAAATAAGTTTAAGCCGGTATCCACATTTTTGCAGGATTACACAAGAATGATATCTTTGAAAGGACTGTGGGTTCATAGAAACCTGGGAGAAGGAAATTTAGTATATTCAGTACATATATCCATGATAAAAGTTAAAACACTATAGTTAAACACTACTTTAAATGAAGTAAAGGTTATGTAAGTGTTACCGGGACCAGGAATGTCCTGTCCTTTGACGTCTTGTATCCACCTGCTTGTCCCGGACAGGAAGGCGGCACTAGATACAAGGTGTTTGGCCGGACGATTGTAGTTCACTATGTCATAATGTCCCGGGCCAGGGAAGGGTGGGTCTTTGATGGGGATCAGAGGTGGCGCTGATAATCCCAAGTAGTGTCTCCTTCTGCACAGATACAAGAGTGAAACCTCTTAATCCATGAAGAACGAGACATCCGAGATATCCATGACTATTCTTATTCTGCTTTTGAAAATCTAGTAGTTAATGATAAAAGCAGCTGTTTTTATATACAGTGGGTACGGAAAGTATTCAGACCCCCTTAAATTTTTCACTCTTTGTTATATTGCAGCCATTGAGTGAAAAATTTAAGGGGGTCTGAATACTTTCCGTACCCACTGTATATGAAATATTTTCAAAAATATCTGTGTATTGTGATGAAATTCTTGGCTGGCAATATATAAATTGCCAAAAATCATTATATAAACGTACATGTTCCACCAGTGCATTATTGCTCTTAAGATCATGAAAGAAAACCCTATGGGTGTTAATTTATTGCAGTTCTGACTCAACACTTACGGCAGAACGGTTCTCTTCACAGGTTCTGGTGGTTGATAGGGGTTATAGGTCCCAGGACCAGGGATGTTGTTTCTCACTGGTGGCTGGATCCGGGCAGTGGTGGATTTGAAACAGGACATGGGAACTTGAGGCGTCTTCTGGAGCAAAATGTCACTCACATTATAGTGGCCTTCAGAACGAGAATAGAGATGGATAGATTCATCATCCGTAATTTCTTTTGTTTGTTTGGCACGTTGATTTGAGTAAATATGAACATGTGAACAAATTAATTAATAGCACAGGAATAGCTCTTCTTTACCAATGAATATTATACCTCATTTCACTACTGAATTTAAAATATGTACAGTGGTTGTAATTATGTGCATATGCAAAGATACACTCACACTCTTGAAAAGCCAACAAAACTCATCAATATTCATTTGTTTTCATATAATGTTGTTACTGAAGTGTTTTAACAGTTTGCATTGCACCTCTAACTTAATCATCTTCATCTAAAACGGAGTTACTCACAGGGAGAGGGTCCTTTAAAGTTGTCTGAGACACTGGCACTCCGTCTGGTTTTAGAGCAAAATGCACTTTGAGCTGAAACTGTTGAATTTTTGTCCACAGCACTATAAGACACCTGACAACAACATTAATTAAATCATACATTACCATTCAAATGTTTGAGGTCAGTAGGATTTTTTTAAACTTTTATTCAGCAAGAATGCATCAAATCAAAAGGGACAGTAAAGACACATTTATAATGGTACAAAAGATTTCCTTTTCAAATAAGTGTTGTTCTACGAAAAGCTGTTTTAAGAAGAAAACTTAACAGGCTGATAATGATTTGGAAATCAATCATAATTTTATTCAAATGGTAACCTTTCACATTGACAAAAAACAATAATAGTAATGTCTGCCACAAAGTTATACACCCAGAGTCAATACATACATCATATTGATTTGGAGCAGGATTTTCATTTTTTGGTTCTTCCCTCTTTACTGCAACCGGCAGACGAAACATTCTGGATTCTCCTCTGTTAAAATCGTGCTTGTGAAGTAGAGACGTCTGGAGGTTATAAGCATCAGGTCCTGGGCTTAATCTCTGGAAGCTACGTGGCACACGACCGGCCTCAAGATGCGAAAACAGGCAGTAATATTATACATAATAATATATTTAAAAGAAGTGCAAGGCAATTAACAGGAAGGCCAGATGTCTACAGCATAAAAGTTTGGAAGACCTCTGTCATAAAGAAGATGCCTGCACATGCACTGATTAATGTAGGATATGTCATTTCCAGATGATTCTGTATAACAAGTCTTTGATCAAGGTCTCACTTTTGAAGCAAAGCTGCCTGTTCCTCTCTTAGAGAATGAAGGACTGCATCCCTCAGCAGGTGCACCTGAGATATATGAACCAGGCCCTGGATTCTCATTCTGAAATAGATGGATGGATGGATGGATAGATAGATAGATAAACATCGCTTTTAATGGCACACCATAAACTCAGTATATAATACATAAAAAATAAATATAGGAGAGCTGGATTATTTAATCTGCTCACCAGGTGATTTTGAAACCTCTTTGACTGCGAGGAAAAGCCTTTCTTCTCTTCATTGCTGATGATGATTGTCTGGTACTTGGTTGGAATGGATGAAGCACATCCCTGAACTACAGAGAGAAATACATGGCTCTGAATAAGAATAAATACAGTAAGAACACTTTAGCCGATTTTAGGACACTAAAGGCAAATCACTCACATTCATTCAGTCCCTTGTATAGTTTGCCCATGCTTTCCTTCCCTTGAATGTCGTGTAGTTTTCTTTGTTCAGAGCAAGACACAAAAGGATACATATAAAAAAGTCTCTATTTATTAAAAACCGCTAAATGACCTGTCCTGTTGTTTTCATGCTGTTGCAGGTGAACTCACTCTGAGTTTGTGTTGGATTGCGTGAGCGACTGTGTGTTGCCATGGCAACATGCAAACGCGACGCCGAGAGTTAGATTAGTTAAGCTTTCCTACTGTAAACAACGTTAATCAGCAAACGCCAATAACAAAAGAAATAAATACATTAAAGTCCCAATTAATGAAGATTCTATTTTTATGATCCAATCGGGTCATAGTAGCTATATTACTACTGAATAAATATATTATTAAAATAATAGTTGTTATTGCCTTCACATCAATTGCCCTTCCCGTTTAAAAATGTATCCTAAAATAGGCTTTTACTGTGACGTCTGTGTACATTAGTTAATGCAAAGAAAGTTGCTTTTATAACAAGTACTCTGTCGCCGCTTGGTGGCCACTGGCTATAAATGTGCGTGTATGTAAAATGACAGAAAAGACAAAAAAGCGCGAGAAAGCCAGAGATTTTGTTGTGCGGCCTAAGGCAAAGAAATTTCAAATGGCTTGTCAACCGCCATAAAATCGTACAAGAAGAAGAACGGCTAGAACTGGAAATAGTACGCAGAACGAAAACCCAGGGAGGCGTGGCTTACCTGTTCACGCCCGCGTTTCATTGGTCAAGGAGGAGGCCACGTCACATGGAAACGATCTAGACTTGATCTAAATGCGAATGAAATCATAAATTATATATTTCTTGGATATTATAAATTACATTATTATTAGGATTTCACACTCTAATGTATTTATCAGGATTTTATTATTATTAATATAATTCCTAGGAGAAGCCCTACCAGTTTTTGATCGATTTTTTTTTTAGCTTTAGTGGTTCGAATTCTGCTCTGGAGGCGATCCGGAGGACATGCACAGTACTGCAGTCAGCCGGTCCCGCTTCAGCTGTTCTCGGTCATCGAGTAGCTCAGCAGCTCCATCATGGCGATGCACGCCAAAGCGACTCCACCGCAGATCCCCGACACCCGCCGCGAGCTCTCCGAGCTGGTCAAGAGAAAACAAGAGCTTGCGGTAATTATAACCCTTTCTAAATGTCCAAAACCGTGTTGAGGCGGCACCAAATGAGACCGAAATACCCGTATTTGTGTTATCATACAAACACTAGTCTGAAATAAACTGTTGTAGATACTTTCAAATGAATATATGAATATGTGTTTGTATTTAGAATCCAGAAAGTCTTATTTTATCCTATTTGTACTACATGTATCAAAATTATATTCCAGTAACTACTGTATATCTATGCTAACATGCTAACTGGGTTAGCCGCTTTTGTTGTGGCGCCTCATGATGCATACAGCAAAGGTATACAGCAATAAAAAAAAACATGCCACTTCTACACAGCTTCGGTTTACAAAATGAACAAAGAAAGTAGAACTGCAAAGAGAAATACATATTATTATTATTATAATAATATGATTATATGTAGGTCATGTGTGATTGACAGCTGCAACTAGAACTTTATTTGTATTTTTAACAGGAGACTTTGGTGAATCTGGAAAGACAGATTTATGCATTTGAAGGCAGTTACCTGGAGGACACTCAGATGTATGGTAACATCATTCGAGGATGGGACCGATATCTGACCAATCAAAAGTGAGTTGTGATGTGACTCCATGTGGTTCAGTGATGTATATATCTTAAATATGTACAGGTTAGCATCAGTTTTTACTCCTACTTTAGGAATTCAAACAGCAAGACGGATCGGAGGAATAGGAAGTTCAAGGAAGCGGAACGACTTTTCAGCAAGTCCTCTGTCACATCAGTGGCGGTCAGTATATTAGAAATATATATATACCTTATTTGTGCATATATAATAAGTAAAAGAAAAGTAAGAAATAACAATGAAAAAATAGAACAATAATTTAGTAAATGATCTAAATGACTGTTTTGTGGATTGTCGTACAGGCTGTTTGTGCTCTTGGAGGAATTCCTGATCATATGAATGAAAAACGTGAGTAGAATCTCAAGCTTCTTGTGTCTGCAAAAGATTTCTATCAGTCATATGTTTTCTTTAATTGTTAAAGGGCTTTGTTTTAAAACCTAGTGAGCTGGGGACACAATTTTGTGTTTACCAAGACAGCGTTTTTGGGAATCGGCAGTAAAAAAGGATATTGTCAAATGAACATTGAAAAACTTTGATTGTACATGTGATGCCCATAAATACAGTTATGATGAACAGCCAATTTGACGATTGTTTTGTAAGATTTGTAAGTTACTGAGAATCAGCGTATTTAGTGGCTTAATATTTTAATCGTTTTGTAAACTTTCCATTTCTTCTGCTTCCTTAGGTGAACCAGGCAGCGGAACAGAGAGCGACACATCCCCAGATCTTCAAAACCAGGAAAACGAACCCAGCCAGGAAGACACAGAAGAGGCAGATGGAGCCCTGCAGGACCTGAAACCCCAGAAAGCTGCTTCGTCGTCTTCTGCAAGCCACCATAGCAGCCACAAGAAACGCAAGAACAAGAACAGACACAGGTACCCGATCTCCAGCAGGCCCTTGGGGTCCAGGATATAAGATGGTTCTTTACTTACAAACTCATTCTGGCTGATCCAGTGCACATTGAAACAGACTGTTATTTGATTGTGAAATGTTTGATGTAATGTCTTGTGGACACATCTGAGTGAATATGGGAGCAGTTATAAATGAACATATTCATAGATGATTATGGTAGCCATATCTTTCCCAAACGGGAGGGTTTTACTTCAGTTTCATAATGCTGTGGCTCCTGCTCAGCCGAGTTTGCTTTGGTTTCTCTTTTTCAGTATCTTTACCAGCTCTTTCCTCTCATGTAGATCCAGCCTAAAGTCTCTTACTCTGTCCTGATGTTTATCTGATGCTGTTCTGGTTCACTTCAGACCGGTTTGATTAGAGAAGATGCTGTCCATTAGATGGACAGAAGGAAGATTCTGAGAAGTTAGTTTTCCTTGATTCAGCCCAGAGTATTTATGGGTCCTACTGCGTTTATAGATGATTTTTGGAAAATTATGGATTGTAAGGTTTGATATTAAAAGTGTTTAAAATGAACCTTAACCTTAAAATTAACTTTCATGAATAAATACTGACCTGTTTGTCTGTAGTTTTTTTTTTTTTAGGAAATACATAATTGCATTGTTTCTTAAAAACAAAATTCAGACCCTTGCAAATTTTTATTTTATTGTCATGCAGAATAAACACAATTTGCTGCCACAATGAATATTTGATGAATGAAATATTGGAAAACCTTTAGTTTGTCTTGTGTGGTTTGCCTCAAAAATATGATGGAGAACATGGCAAAGTAATAGATTTTAGGCACAAAATACAAATTTTATGTTTTAATTGAGTCAAAAACTATATTTTACTTACATTTTAAATTAATTACTTTTTAATAATTTAATGTTCGTTACATATCCCAGCTGTCAACAAGACTGATGTAATGCTTTTAAATTGCTCTTCAAACCCATGTCTTGATCTTTCTGGCTTTCTTTTGGAAACTAAGGGTTGCATCCGGTATCACTTCAGATGAAATAAGATGAGCACTAATTAGGGTCCTATATTTACTAACACCCTAGAGAGGATTCTTTAGTGTCTGACCTGTTGAGCTTGTTCATCTAGTGTACTTCTGAAGGTGTAAACCCACACATTCACACACTATGTAGTGGACTGTGGGACTGATGTGCTGCTCAGTGTAGTGCACTAACCTCTGATGCTCTCTTCCTTCCTAACGCTGCCCCCTTCAGCCCTTCTGGCGTGTTTGATTATGACTTTGAGTAAGTCTCAATTTTACTTCCTGTTTCTCACTCCCATGTCTTCTGTCCATTAGCTACGTAGGGCTGTCCACATCATGTGGAAGAATGCTGTGACGCTTGCTTCTACCTGATCATTCGCAGATGTTGCTGCAGTTCCTTTTTCTTTTTTGCTTTTGTTTGGTTTTGCATTTATTTTTCAGCTGCATGTTTGTGGAGCTCATAGACATGGTGGGTTTTTTTTAGTTTGTTGCATGCAGGGTTTTAATCAAGTTAATTTGTTTATCTGACCGTGATGGGCCGCTTGTTAATTCATATTTTCTCCTTACAGATTTGACATGAAGATGAACAAGAAACCCAGAGCGGTAAGTTCAGATGTACTAAAATATGTTGTGTGTACATATATTTGTAGATTTTGTAGTCATGTTTTGGTGCTGTTTTCATCCATTTTTGCTGCTCAATAGAATGTTAATTAGGGGTGTGCACAAATAGTCAAATTATTCGAATACTTGATCTGTAATTATTAGGGATGCACCGATACTGAGCTCCTGTACTCGTACTCGTTAAAATGCCCCGATACCAAACGC